CCCCAAAACCCCAAAACCCCAAAACCCCTCATCCAGGCTCCAATTTAATAATATACCCCTAAAAAATGTCTGATTCCTTCTCTCCCTCCACCGAATTCCAGCCGTGCTACAAGTACATTGGTGCGCTCATATTCCTACTAATGTACAACTGTGGTGTGCTACCAATGTTCCTGTACTACTCCTACAGATTTTATAAGATATATAAGACGCAGTCCAAATGAATCCTGATGTTTTTGATCACTATTAACTTATGAGTCATCTTCAGGATCGCCCAAGTGCTTAACCAGATCAGGTTTAATGTACAACAGTAAGGGTCAAACTAGTTGAGGTTTTTTTAGCCATCGTCTTTTGATGGACCAGGGAGATTTCTGGTGTTAATAATTCCAAAGAGCTGATTATCACAATTTTTCAAGTATTTCTTAAAATCCTATTTTTGATATCTCGTTTGAACTAAGGCTAATTTTTAAATAGAATTTATGAAGGAGATCATTGAAGTAATTTCACCCAACCAATCTGAACAGGAGGAATTCTGAGTTACTTACCCTTGATATTTCTGATCTGAGCCATCATTTTCAGTATTTTTAATTGGGTCTATCAGAGTCAGGCAATTAATGAATATCTCCATGGGACTTCTACCTGAGTGAAGAGATTAACTTTCTTGTCGCTGGTGTTCTCAATCTGTATAATAATTTGCTTCTTCATTGGAGTGGTAACTACCTCATGCTTCATCTTCAAGAAACAAAATGCAGAAGGGGATAATTTTAATCATGAAATAATCAAAGCTTATGAAATATTTTACCTATTCGTGACAGCAGGATTCTTTATTGTTTCTACTGTATATATCATAGTTGGAAGATGCTACTATGTCAGCTTAAGGAGATTTTCAGGTGTCAAAGCCAAAGAGATGAAGAACAGAGTCCTCTACAGTGTGCTTTTTATTTCAATCCCTCTTTATCTCAGAGGAATTGAGAATATTTTTCGGAAATATGTACTAAAATGGAAATTTGTGTCGAAATCTTTAGAAATAAACGACTTCAGATATCCAATATTCATAATTCTATTTAATATTTTGACGGATTTGCTTCCAATTATTGCTATGATGATTGGTCTTAAAATAGTGATAAATCACTACTATCAGAACATGATTTTGGAGGCCTTTAAGCCTTCTACGAACAGAACTCTATCCAGAAGTACACTCAGGAAAAATCCCTCTTACACAAGCAGAGGAGGCTCAGAGGACTCAGTATCTCCAGTGACGCCTGGGAATCCTGACATATCGTACAACTCTTTTAGACCATATGGGTTTGAGGATTTTAACTCTAGCAAAGATGTTGGGGCTGAAAATAGACTCTACCACAAATTCATAGATGACTCTTCCCCCAATGATACAGTGTTCTCTTCTTGAAGATATAAATAAGTTCTAAATCACATTCTTGCACCAAGCTTAATCTCAAATATTAATGTTGGGTCTTAAAATATTGGATTATCAATGATGAAAGGTGAGTTGAGGGATCAGGGAATTTCTTAGGAATACTGAAATATTTGTATAAATTCAATGCTAAAATGCTATTATGGGGTTTTGGGGTTTTGGGGTTTTGGGGTTTTGGGG